ACAACCAGAAAAGCAAAGCAGCCAAGTCGCTAGAGACGTTTTTCCTCTATCATGGCTGGATGACCATGGACTAAGCAGACTAAGCCTCTCTCTCTTCCCATTTTACATTACCTCTAGTGCTGGGATTCTCTAGAACAGGGATTGAAGGTGTGAGCCACCACCACCTGGATTAGTTCCTACATTGATCGTGTGTAGCCCAGAGTAGCCTTGACTCACAGAGATCCTTCTGGCTCTCCCTCCCAAATTCTGTGATTAAAGGTGTGACTCACCATTGTCTGACCTCTAGTGGCTTTAGCTTTGTCTCTAGTCTTCAGTCGAGATTTAATTATCAAAATACAAATTTTGATATATACTGCTATACCATTCGACACATAAACAGTATTAAAGCTTGTCTCAGCACATTCAGTGTGAATGCTCCACATACCTCATAGTCTACCTGGTAGCAGCATTGGTAGCAGCACTGGCTGCTGCCTCTGGGATACACATGTAGCTCAAAGTTGATAGGGTTCTAGGTTTGCTTCAGGCCTTTGAGGGGAGACTCCAGTAAAGAACGTTGAGGAGAAGCAAGGGAGCTGTATGCTTCAGCCTCCAAGTAGGGGTATAAATCCACCATTGTCTTCCAACTTGAGGTCTCAGAGACCTCAGAAGCATGAGCTGTAATGAAATCCAGGGCCTGAGTTTTCAATTGCTGTGTGCTATGGAGGTCGGCCAGGAAGAGAGTGTGGGCAGCATTCTCCACAGAGAGGTTCCTGCAGAGGGCCCTCTCACACAGGATCTTCAAACCCTCCAGGCCGTACATATCAGCAGCTGCCAGCACAGTATCTGCCATGCTGTCTAGGTCTGGTTCCTTCCCGGTGTAAATGAAGCCCATCATTGCCTTGAAGACTTCAGGTTCCAGGTCATGAATCTCAACACAGTTGTTTCTTCTTTCCTCCATGTCATGTTCAAACATGGCTCTGAAAACTGGAGAGCGAGCAGCTAAGATGGCCTTGTGAGCCAGGAATTCCTGGCCAGCTACAAACAGGCAGCAGTCTGTGAAGTGGGAATTCTCCCAGAGATCTCCTAGCTCATCTGCCAACATGCACCTTGAAGCCTGAATCTCTGGGTTTGTGCTTTCCTCGGAGATGTTGTGGGAGTCTGGATACAGGAGTCCTCTGCAGAAGAGGGTGAGTTTGTCTTCAGGGAGAAGCCAATACTCATGGTCCAAGAGAAAATCTCTAAGGATGAACATTTTGTAACCCCCTTCAATGCCTGGCAGGAACCTAAAGGATTTTGGACTTGTGACAGTTTCTGTTTTTTCTCCTTTGACATTGATGATCCAGAGCTGAAACTGTGCAATAATGTCACTCTTTGGAGAGCTGAGCAGCTTTAGGTTAACTGACAGGTAATCTGAGCTTTCTTCATCGACCCCGTTCGGATGAACTCTCAAACACCAGTTGTCATTGTCTCCTGTTGAGAAACTTGGACTTATAATGCTGCCCTGCTCTTCCTCTAAAATAAAATGGAAGTTGTCTATGGTCCACTGGCAGTAGAAATTTGAGACACTGAATAGTTTGTAGTCCCAGCTCTGGGCTATGATGTTTTTTGACATTTATCCTGGAGATAGTTTGGAGGCTAAATTGGAAGCAAATGAAGAATTAGGATTTGTTTTCTCTTCACCATGTGGGAGACAACAATAGACAGTATTTAGACTTTTAGTGTCTGTTTCTCTCCTGTTTACTTTTATATGGGTTGGGACCTTGAGTCTCTGAAGTCATCCAGAGACTACACTAGCTTCAGTGTAGCTAGTTTAGATTACCAGGGGCTGCTCTGTCAGTTCATGTTTTCTAGATAGAATCTCAAGTCAATAGATAGCTAATATTTAGTTGAAAATTTGGAACATTTCATACACTCATATCAAAAATGTTGTGCTAAAGTTCTCCGGAGTAACAGAACATAGAGAACGACTTTCTCTTTGTCCGAACAAAGGAGATTCATTAGAATGATTTAGGGCTGCAGTCCTGCTAATCCCACATTGGCTAACTGTGAAGAGAGATTCCAAGAATCCAGTACTTACTCAGTCCAGGAGATTAGACGTGCAGACTGGTCCTCAGTCTATGCTGGAATTCTCTAATGCCAGTGAAGGTATGGACTTGCTGCCAGGTGAGGGCAAACAAGCAAAAAAGTAATAGCTTCCTTCTTCCTTGTTCTTTTATATGCTTCCAGCAGAAGGTGTGGTCCAGTTTAAGGAGTGTTTCCACCTTCTAGATCTGGATTAAAGGTGTATGTTTTCAAGTTTTGGAAAGTACATTAGATGTTAGTGTCTTTCTGCCTCTGAAATCTGCACTAATAGTTAATCTGCGGGCATGTCCTCATACCAGAAAAAGCCACTGTTCATTGCACGAATACAAAACTGAGAGAAACACATAGAAAGACATACAGACAAACACACCCAAATGCAAACACTCACACAGAGACTAAAGAGTCAGAGAGCATGAGAGAGAGGCAGAGAGAGAGAGAGAGAGAGATGAGAAAGAGAAAGAGAGAAAAATGAGATACAGCTTGAACATGGATCTAAACCAATGGAAACTACATGAATGTGTTTGGGATTCCAGTACAGCAACTAGACTTTCTCAGAGTCAGCTTTAATGCACAAAAACCAGATTCTGGGTCAACACACTTCAGCTAACAATAATAGTGAGCCAGAACTGGTAGCACATAATATGTTACTGTATGCTTTGAGAAAGGTTTAATATTTAGAGATATTCCCTGAGCTATGGACTTTGGTAGATTAGGCCTCTGACTTAGTTGTGGTAGGCATTTCTGTTTTTTAGAACAAGTGCTGGGTTTTACACTTTCCACGGTGCTTCCCTTAAAGGGACAGTTGTGCTTATGTATGGTGGTCTGCTAATGTTTGATCTTGTTACACAGGTGGGTGAGTGGGGTTCCCCTCTGTATGCTGTGAATGTCTTTTATTACCATTGGTTAACAAAGAAGCTGCTGTGGCCTATGGTAGGGCAGAATATAGGTACGTGGGAAAAGTATACTGAATGCAGGGACAAAGATAGATGCTATATAGCTACTGAAGGAGAAAGACTCCAGAACATTACCGGTAATCCACAGCATCATGACAATACACAGATTAATAGAAATGGGCTAGTTTAAGATATAAGAGCTAGCTAGGGATATGCCTAAGTCATTGACCAAACTGTGTTGTAATTAACATAGTTTTTGTGTGATTATTAGAGTCTGGGCAGCCAGAAAAGAAAGTGCAGTCTCTACTACCTGCAGGTGAGTCTGTGCAAAATGAGCTTATTGTGCCCTCAGAGGCCAGAAGAGGCTATTTGATCCTCTGGACTTTCCATTGTTGTCAGTTCTCCTATGAACACAGAAAATTGGATTCCAGTCTTCTGGAATGCGGCGAACTCCCTGACCAGCAGGAAAGAACAGCCACCAGACGAGGATTCTTCCCAAATCACGCTTTATTGGAGCCTCTTGGTTATAGGAAGAGCAGAAAGCAAGGGGCCCTGAGCTCTGAGCTGTAGCTGCTTATATAGGGAGTCTGCCTAGCAACCTTTGATACTTTGATACTTTAACTGCTTTTCTGGAGACCCACCTGCAGGAAAGAAAGCAGGGGGAACAGCCTTGTCAATTACAGACCACAAGGAAGTTCCCCTGCCGGTCAGGGGGAGTGTGGGCAAGCGAGGCCAGGGCCAAATGCCATCTTGTAATGGCAGCCATTCAAATCAGCTCCCAGCACTGGAAGGCATCCAGCACGTTTTACTGCTGTACCATTTCTAGATTCTCTCACAGTTACTTTCTTACAGATGATGAAACAGCTCTGCAAGACTAGTTCATTCTCTAAAGTTGGGCAGTCTGATGGAGGAAGGTCATTGGTTAAAAAATAAACTGCTTGGCCCTCATAAGTTAAAACATAGGTGGGAGGAGTAAACAGAACAGAATGCTGGGAGGAAGAGGAAGTGAGCTCAGAGGCCATGCTCCCCTCTCCCGGGCAGACGCCATAAAGCAAGCTGCTCTGAATCTTTCCCGGTATGACTGATGCTACACAGATTATTAGAGATGGGTTGATCGGGATATGAGAATTAACCTGTAAGGGCTAGAGTTAATGGGCCAAACAGTGTTTAAAAGAATACAATTTGTGTGTTGTTATTTCTGGTGTAAAGCTAGTCATGTGGGAGCCGGGTGGGACAAAAGCAGGCCCACAGCTCCTTCAACAGAATGGCGCCCAGATGTGTGGAGAACTGAATCCACTGAAAGCCTGAGAAAGCTTGGGAAAGAGTAAAGCATGTTTTCTTGGTAGCAGCAATTTCTCAGGTCTGTTCTGCTTGCTAGAGGCAAGCAAGCGCTCTCATCTAGGATAGGCTTCCTGACTTGGCTTTAGCTGCAAAACCCTAGGGCTTTTTAAAGAGGTCCTGCCACTGCAGCACGCCGCTCCCGCCAGCAGAAGAGACGACCGCAACAGGATTCTTCTCAGAACACACTTTATTGGAGCACTTACACTTGAGGTTGTAGAGAGGCAAAAGACCCCGTCCCCGTGAAGCAGAAGAATATATACGGTGCCAGACAAAGCCCTGACGTGTCATCAACCCAATGGCTCAGGCCAGAATGGAGTGATCGTGCTTAAATTATGATTGGCCAGATCGGATGGCCAGATCGAAATACTCCCCGCGTTGGGGGGGGCTCGCGGGCGCATGTGCTGTGGGCGCGCATGCGCACAAGTTGCTCACAAGCTGTCAAGTTTGACGTGGAACAGCAAATGGCGCCCAGGCCCCGTGCCCCTGACATGACAGCGCCATGGTGCACGCTACATCTCCGCGCGCTACATCTCCCCCTTTTATATTTTAAAGCAGAAACCCGATCTAGTTCGAGACCTCATGATGTCCCCAACGATCAAGGGTCAGGGTGCGCTGTGCGCGTCATGCTGTGTATCCTCTCATGTGCAATGGCAGCAAGGCCTATGAGGTGCAAGGACTACCAGCACGTTTTAAAAAATAGAGAGAATAGGATGTGCCTGTCCCAGTGCAATGTCTGTAACGACTTGGGGTGCAGAGGCCACATCCAGTTATAGGTCATGCTTGAGGCTAGACAGCCAGACCTGAGGGGAGATGCCATGTTCGAGGGCGGCAAGGGCCTGGACTATAATTGCTTTGTCCCGAGCTTGCCGTGCACGAAATCGGCGCAGAAACCAAAGGCAGAGAAACACGCCAAGGCAACATATGGCACCGAATACGCCAACCCCCACCCACTCCTTAAAGAAAGAAAAAGCGGATTGCAGCCAATCAGTAAATTGTCCAAGGGTCATGGGCTGTATACGAGTATCATTCAAGGTAGCAATCTGCAACAGCTGGTCCTGGATCAGGTTCTCTGCTTCCTTGGACCAGTTGCCAGCAAGGAATTCACCTAGGATCTTTGATTCATTTCTGGAATTATCAAAAGAAAGTGGGGTTATGCACACATGCTTTTGATACGAAATGCAACCCATTTGAACCAAATCAGCCAAATCCTTTAACTGTTTATAATTTACCGGCTCATGAAATCTCTGCCCTGTGTTGGGATCCTGAAAGATGGGGAACACAGTAGCCAACCGGCTCCATGTTCTAGGCTTAATAAAGGAAGCAGAAGTGGCAGGAGGTGCTGATGAGCCATTCCTCGTACCACTAGCTCTGGGTGAATCATATGGCGGGGGCTTAGCATACTCCGGACTATACCGCTCCCGTTCATACTGAGCTGCAGCTTCCTCCAGATCTTCCTCCTCCTCCTCCTCTACATCTAATTGGTCCTCATCCTCGGAGGACTCATCTATAGAAAAATTAGGAAATTCCTCCAAGAGTGGATACCACGTATCCTCCAGCTCCCTGTCTTTCTCTGGAGCTTTCTTTTCCCTTTTCCGAGAGCTTTTGTCGCCCTCCCTTTTCCGAGAGCTTTTGTCGCCCTCCCTTTTCCGAGAGCTTTGGTCGCCCTCCTTAGGCCTATGTTTTTTTGGGTTCTCCTGTCTTTTCTTCCTTGGTATCTAGCTCCGACACACTATCCTGGTAGGCTGAAAGCGCTCTCCGGCCGTCTTTTACTGCTTTGACACATTTCCCGTCCCGCAAACAGGCTCGTACCAGTTTCCATAATGGGTGAGTTCCCGGCCAAAGCTTACCCTCCGCCTTAGCCATCTCAAGGTCCCTACCTAGCTTGTTCCAGCAAAGGAGATTGATGTCCCCCGAGCCTCCGAACCATGGTGATACTCGATCCACATCCTCCAAAAACTTCCTTATGGTACCCTCTGAGATTTTTAGATCTCGGTCCCTAAGAAGCCTCTGGATAGGGCATGAGAAAGGCGTCATGCTGGCTGGTCCAGACGCTACATTTCCCATGCTGTACATTTATTTACTGCCGGTCCCAGCAAATACACCCTTGACCGGTTCTATGACAGCTTGGAAAAAAGGCAGCGGACAGGCACCAAGATGACCATACCCCGAATGACAGGGGCTCCCAAAGCGGATCCACTCCTCCACTCAGCACGTCAGAAGCAATACTCACGGAGAACTCACCCGCGCCGCCGCTCCGTGCGTCTGAGTTCTGAATCCTCCCCCTTCTGCAGGGGTCTCTGCCTGATGCCTTGA